CTAATCAGGGTAAAGATGTAATATGGTGGTTTTTTATTTTAGGTAAACTAAACTAGATATAAAGCTGGGTCATGGATCTGGAACCACTTTCAATAAGAATGTTATTAGAAGACCTTGAGAATATTATACAATATGAGAGTAATATTATGATAGTAGTCATATTATATACTAAAATTTGTACATGAATGGATTGAACGTTTGAAAGATGTTTGGAATTTGGGGGGACAACCGGGAATGTAAAAAACTGAGATGTAAAAAACAAATAATTGTAAGCAAAGCATGTAACACGATGTTTGACAAGCATAAAACAATGTAGATAGATTGAAAAACCAATAAAATGTTTATAAAAATATTATTCTTTTTAAAATGTATTTTGAAAAGCAGTTAAAAATGGTCAGCCAGGAAGGAGTTAATATCTTTCTTTCAGAGTCCATTCAGAGTGGCAAGGTCAACATTTCACTTGGATGGCTGGAAGCTTATGAGACAAGCTGATAAACTCAGCATTTTTCTGGCTTAAAAAGCACTAATTATGAAAGGGCTTTTGGAGACAAGAATGTGTTGATTTATTTGCAGGGGGGGAAGAGGCTGCAAGGGGTCATTTTCTCTACAAGTAGGCATTTTTTTTTCCTTATCAATGTATTTTTTCCCAATGGCTGTATATATTTGATTGTTATTTTCTGCACGGGATAAAAGCAGTGTTATTTTTCACAACCCAAAACCTCTTTGCCCAAATGTCCTGAAATGTGGCACAAAGCGGGAGCAGACTGTCTTCTCCCACTGTACAAAATTTGGTGATGACCTGACTTCCAGTTTTTACATTAGAATTTTTTGTTTGGACTGCAACCCTTCTTAGCATTACCTGGCAGAAGGTGTTTCTTTTAACCATAATTTAAGCCAGTCTAAATCTACTGGCATGGATTTCAGATGATTAAGAGATTAGCACAGGAATCTGTTGTCATGCACCAAGTCAATGACTGCTGTGCTACGCAAATGATCCAGCCGCTGGAGGGTCCCTGGACCTCGAGCAGCGAAGCTGGCTTTGCCTTCCACCCGGGATATCGCAAGACGGGCCTCATGTGATCCCCAGGTGGGAGGGGAAAGCCCGCGTATTTAAAGGGCCTTCCCCTCCGGAAATGCCCTCTTCTTTTCGGGCACCCACCCGCCCTCCCCAATTCTAGTGTGAGTTATTCTGGTTGCTGTTACGGGGCCGGATAAGAATTTTGGCCCTCATCCTGATTGGCCTGTGGATGGGGGAGTTTTTGCCTATCCCACACTAGAAGAGGTTTGTGGCAAGTCGGTGGAATTAGCTTCGGTCACACTGGTGGGTAGTGTGGGAAAAATAGGCATTTACGGTGGGTCCCGCAGTAATTTCAAGTAAGCCAGCAGTACATCCTACCGCATGGCACTGCGGATCGTGCGATTACAGTGCCTGTGGCGGGAAGATGCACTGGGCCACTTCCAAACTGACAACCCTCAAATAAAGGGGGTCCAAGGTCTGGGGGTGTTTGTTAGCGGCCAGCCAGGTTCCTGTTATCCTTAAGGTCGCTGGAGCCTGGGGCCGGGGACTCGCCCTTTCATTGACCTAGGAGTATTTAGATACTCACACCATTGGACTGTTTCCGCACTACGGCAGGCCCCTCCTTGTGAGTGAAAAGTTTGGAATATTGATGTATATTAATAAAGTGTGGCCCATATTTTTAACCCATATCAGTGTCTCGCATTTTATTCCGGGGTTGGGAGGGCAAAGTCTATGGCAACTTCATAACTTGTGCCAGTTTTCCACGGAAATATACACCAATGGGACTTATACACAGTTACAAGCATAACTTCCATGACTCTTAATAATCCCATGTTGACAGAGTTTTCATGTGTGATTCCCCTTGAGCTCAACCTGTCCCTCAACAACAGTTCTGCAAAATTCTCCCTCTTCTTAAATATATTAATAACAGGCGGATGTTGCTTCACGTGGAATATCTGAGCCAATGATGGACGTGTCTCTCATTCTCTTTCTACAAACGTAAATTAATTACAGGGCAAGGGAAGGAGTAAAATAGTATTTCTTTTTGCTGCTCAAATATTTTAAAATATTTTTCATGGAAAATGGTTTTTACATTAAAAAATACTGATATCAAGGAAGAATGGCAAATGGCAGACATCCAATTTTGATGTTAAGTTATATATCAGAAGTTTTGCCAGATTATGTCTTTAATGCGTTTTATACACCCATTTTAAAATTATTCTTGGCACTGAATTGGATGTAGAAATGACTTGGCTTGCTTCATATTTTGGCCACATTAGAAAGGGATGTGTTGTTAAAAACAAATGTAACTAATGACTCATTGCAGCCCCTGATTACCCTCAAGTCAATTCTTCAGCAGTTTCAGCTGTTCTCTTTATTAATCTGTCATCCTCTGATGAGAAAGAGGGTCCAACATGTGGCATAGGTTTCAAGCTCTGTACATTTGTTTCATGCTCTATTACACTGTGCCTCAACATTATGCAATTTTTAAATATACATAAACCAGCTGAACCTC